ACGTCCTTAGAACAGCTTTCCCCCTTACTGAATAGTTAAGGAGAGTTTTGCCTGTTTTTCTTACTTATTTGACTACAGGTGAAAATTAAGAGAGAGATTTAAAAAATGTTGCTTGTTTGCTTGTTTATGGAATTCATATCCCACTTTTCTTTCATAACGGATTTTTTAAAAAGCTTGAAAAATTTAGCAATGAATTGATGACCAGTGACTCCCATTAGTGTGCCAGTGAATCTGCCCTTACAAGATACTAAATCCAATATTAATCCTACCTAGAATAGACCCCTTGAAACTTATAGGGCACCACTTAGTTCTGCCTAACAAATCCTAGTCATTTCATTTAAAATGTGAATTTTAAATGACAAGTTTTAGATGTGGATTGTTTTAATATGTGCATGTCTTATTTGTCCTTTTAAATTTATGAGTGTTTTAACTGATGTTGTTGTTTGTTAATTGATGTCATCTCCCACCTCAATCCAGGGAAAGAGATGGATAGGAAATAACAACAACAACAGCAACAGCAACAGCAACAGCAACAACAACGGTCCACTCTTGTTATTCAAATGAACCTGCTGAGTTTAACATTGGATTTAGCCCAAGATTTTCAGCAAAGATAGCAAAAGCTTACATTTTTGTTCTGTGGATAAGTGCTTTCAAAACTATTTGCATGGTTGACTTAACACCCCCTTTGAAAACAGATTAGTCACTGGGCTGATGCATAGGCAAAGTGATATATGCAGGCAGCTGTGTTCTTCATTAGGTTTTCCTGCCTGTCCTGATCACTTAGCAACTCACCCCTCGCCACAAGGCTTTGGGAGCACCAAAAGCATCTGTCATTGAAGCATGGGAAGGGTGCTGTTTAGTGGCATCACTAGTGGGGTGTTGACAACACTGGATGATACCTGAGAGGCAATAGCATCATTGGTGGGTGCGGATCACACCAGGTGACACCTGAGATCAGCCCTAGATCAGCCCTAGTGGCGCAGTGGTTAAATGCCTGTACTGCAGCCACTCACTCATAAACCACAAGGTTGCGAGTTCAATACCAGCTAGGGTTGAGGCTCGACTCAGGCCTGCATCCTTCCGAGGTCACTAAAATGAGTACCCAGCTGTTGGTACAACTGTGGGCAATCAGCTCACAGTTGTAAACCACTTAGACACCCCATAGCGTGGTATGAAGTGGTATATAAATGAAGCTGCTTTGCTTTTTGCTTTGAGAGAAGGGGTAAAACCTGATTGAGCCCTCCTCCTACTGTGTTTGGGGTTTAGTGCTGCTGCCGGTGCCTGATTCTTTTCTGCTGCCCTGGCTCTCTCAAACAAGGGAAACAAGACAAGAGAGGAGGGTCGAGCACAGGTGCACCTGCCCTCCCACCTTTCCCAGTGCCTTGGCTGGCTTGTGGTCCCAGTGCCTTGGCTCTCTGAGGGTGGCTGGGAGGGGCACCCAGACCCACACCGGTCACACCAACACTAAGAATGCCACTGGTGCTATTTGAATGGATGCAAGAAAAAAACCCACATGAACCCATCTGGCAAGAGTTCACTGCTTTTGCGCCACATGTGACAGTAAATGCGTGAACCCATCTGGAAAGAGTTTGCTGCTTTTGCTCCACATGTGGCAGTAGGTACAGACTTGAATGCATACTGAGTGGTACAGTTGCCTTAAGCCTGTAAAGGTTTAATCATGAAGTTAACACTGATTTATTGT